CATTCGATTATATGTACGGGTTTGCGTGTCGTTCTCACATTGTGCAGTTCGCCACTATTATTTTATTTAACAAACAAATCATAAAAGCTTTTTTTTTTTTTTTTTTTTTTTGTAAAGTTTTATCGATTATTGCAGACATACGTGGGCGTTCTCACGGAGACGAGGGGGGGCAGATTCCTCCATGACCTTTTTATTTTTTTTTTTTTTTTTTAGTATCAAATAACATATTGCGTTGTTGTAATCAGGGCAGTAGAGGACGGTATACGGCGGTAAACGCCGTATACCTTCAGACCATTATTAATAAACACCGTGTACCTTCTGGTTATGGTCGTATACTCTCTAACAATGTACCTGATGACATTACACTTACACCTAATAATGGTACGGTCATAACTCATAGTATACCCTTTGCCATTTATAAGACTTCAGTACTGGTTATTATAACATTTTTTTTTTTTTTTTTAGATTTTTCCCGTCGAATAATCGAAATCCACATTTTCGTTTCGACAATATCCGTTATCGAAATATTCGAAAATCGATTCACGCAACCCCGCGTGTACACAGAGTGTTCGGGGCCCGTCGAAAATACACTCGAGACGCTCGACCGTGCGCGCGGGCGTGATTGAATTTTCGAAAACATAAAACGTGTTACGGATTCGACACTGATCGTTACCGCGCAAACGTTTCTCGCGGTCGTTCGACGCGAACGCGTTTTTTTCGGCGAACAAAAACGAATTGAAATGTACGCCTAGAAAATGTCCGATCGTGAACTATGACGACCGCCGTCACGATTCGATTCGGCGGCTTGGCCGGACATTTTTTATTCGGTTTTTTTTTTTGTTCTCAATTTTCCGTTCCTCTCGTTTACTTAGAAAAAGAAATAAAAAAAAAAAAGTCGATTTTCGATCAGTTAACGACGGACGATTTTGACCGCTCGTGTCCAATATTGTGTTTTAACGACGCAGTGGATTGAATTTTTAATTGAATCGAACGATTAACAATAACGACGTGACCTATTCACTTTTACCTAAGCAAGTTTTCAAAATAAGTTCTTTGAGACATTTCGGAGGGGTCGGGGTGGTCCGGTTGTTTAGTCATATTACCATTGAGTTATTGAATTAAAAAAAAAAAAAAACAAAACTTATAATTTCGCTCGATATAATATTACGATACTTGGGTACCTAAGTACCTACAACCAAAGACGATACCTGATATTACATAGTCTCGTAAAGTATTTTAGTTAATTCGTTTCAACACTATCAAAGTATTTATTAACGATTTTTAAATTTCAAGTGTTCGAAAAGTAATTTAAATACCGTGTTGAACGACGTATTTGTATTTGAATTTCAAATGCTTATCTAAATTCACAAGAATTATTCGTCGGGTATCAGATTGTTTTTTGATATTCATTTGGTGATTTTTTTATTTATTTAAAATACTTATCACTGTATTCGTAATTGTCGCCGGTGTCGCGTTTGTTATTATTATTTATTAAAATTAACCTAACCTATTATATAGGTAGGTGCCGTAACCGAATAGCCGTTAGGTATCCGATCATCATAATTTTAATAAATATCATTGCATCTCTTTCGCGCAGATACCTATAAGTAATATATTATTTTCTCTCGCGCCATTTTCTCACACATTTGTTTATCCGATTTCTTTAACATTTTAAACATTTGTTTATTTTTATTGAATAGTACAGTAGTGTAAAATAGGTATTACAAAACTAATACACCTATAACACTATTTATTTATTTTCATTTTTCAGTATAAAACGAAACAGGTGGTGCAATAGGTTCTAAAATAATATATAGGTGGTACTCGGATAATTTAATATTTTAAATTAGTAATTTCATAATTAATTTTACAAATTCAACACTACGAATGTACATTAACTATTGAGTGAAATTAAAAAAGCATTCCAAAGGTCGTTTAAATACATATCAAGTATTTGGAATGTATTTTTAATACAATTTGAAAAATATATTTTTACAAGATTACAGTTTTGTATTGACGAAAAAATTCATTGTTTACGATAAAAAAAAAAAAAACAAAAAAAAACCGGTTAACGTACGAGTTTAAAATCGGCCACAACACGTTCGGGCACAAAATCACAACACGGGGTTGGGCACTATAGTTTACAGGTACTTTATGTATACAGTATATAGTTATCAAATAGTTATGCGTAAAATATAAGTACATACCATCAATAATAACCGCATGCGGGACTTTCTACGATAATAAATATTATAGCGGTAGAATGCGTAATCACAGGCGTAAAGCTGATATAAAAAAAATATCGAAAATCCATCGGTAATTTCCAAAGTCACGTATAAATAATATGATAAAAAATATACTATCCTTATTTGTTTTGTACCATAAGCCAATAACCATGTCCGCAGTTGCTTGTCGAGTGTTACTCAGCGCGCAGTGTGTGCCAAGTAAACAAAATATTTACAAATATTTTTACCATGAACTCCGTAGATAGTATTTTTGAAACGAAACGAGGAAGACGATGTGTTCTGATGCACGGACGTGAGCTAAGTGAAAATAAAAAATTGATCGACCGAACTTTTCGCTTCAAATGTACACATCGTAAATGTAACGTGTGGAAATTTATTCAATTTATGACTAATGAGAAACTTGATTTAATTATTTCTCAAAAAAAAAAAATGATCACAATCACGCGGGAACTTCTGAAAATATTTTAGATCGACAAAAAATAATATCTACACTTAAGCGAAAGGCGATGATGTGTTTACTGAACCAAATAAACTTATCAGAAAAGTACTTAAGGATCAAATTACAGTTAATATAAGTCATTAATATGTGCGTTTATTTTGGAAATCTGTGTATGAAGCTAGGCGAAAACAAATTTATACGAATTTGATTGAACACGAGTTATTTTATGTTTATATTTTGTTGTGTGACTTATATGCTTCTTAAACAAAGGTATATAGTTTTTACATTTTAATACCCAAACGTGGGACTTTTTTTAGTGATATTACGTGCCCAAACGTCGTGTGGATTTTGAATACTTAACGGGTAAAAGTTCCCAAACGTGCGGCGCCGTTAAAATCGACGGCCCGTCGGTCACTCGTCCGCCGCGCCGTCATCGCGTCTCCGGTGCAATCGCCGCGGGCCTTTGATTATTATTATTTTTCGAATTCTTTTTTTTTAAATTTTTTTTTTACTATACGGGTGCGGATCTGAAAAGGACGCCGTACAAAACGAACGCAAATATAATAATATATTTACTCGTCGCGACCGCAAAGAAAATAGATTTAAAACCGTTCGGCGTCGACTTTGTGTATACGACGACGGTCCGCGGGTCCCGAATTCGTTGACGGGGGGGAAAAAAAGGTCACCCGAGGCATCCGCCGCACCGCTTGCGTTAAACAGAAACGAACGGGTGGCGGCCCGGAGGGTCGCGTGCATATTACGTAATATTATACAGGGTCTTCCGAGTCTTACGTACCGGGATAGCACAGTGAAATACGTTTTTATTTTCGTTTCGAAACTTTTCGAAACCGAATTTTATAATATACGATAGTACAGTGTAAGGTACAGGCGTGTTCGTAATGAATTCGGTATTGCGTTGTATACTATGAAAAATAAAAGAAATCCGGAGGGTTACACGTTATAGAGTTCGATTTGAAACGTGGGTTTTTTTTTTTTTTTTTTTTTTTTAACGTATTTTTAAATGCGCGTACGGTTTTTAAACGTATTATACAATGAGCGCACGGTATTTTGACGGGTCACTCACGCGGCGGAGTCAGTACCTACGCCTCGTAACGTCGAGACGATCGGTTTTTCGGTTTGACAATATTTCGTAAAAAAAAAAAAAACACCGCAAGGTCGACGGCGGCGGCGACGGCCAATACGATCGCGTGATGTTTGAAAGACCCTGTATATTTTAAAATATAAAACGTTCGATTGATCGCGCGGAATATAAAAGACGCGGAAAAGAAGAAAAGGAGGAACGCGAGCGACGACGGCGTGGTGTTCGGCGTCGGGCGGCGGAAAGGGGGGGATGGGCGAGGGGGTTCGTCGCACACGTTTTCTCACCCCCTAAACTTGACACGCCGGTGGCGGCGGCGACGCGGCGAGGGGAGGGGACGCATAAAAAAGAATCGATGGGGTTGGCCGCACGACTACGGCTGCTTTCTTCTTTATTCCGCGTTTCAGGTGCTTTTGTGTGTGCGCGCCACCCTATAATAAAATACGCGGCACACAGACGCACAGGCGCCCGCACACAACCGCGCACGCACGCACGCACACACACACACACACACACACACACACACACACGCACGCACGCACTCCGACACTATAGCGCGCACATTCGTAGACTTCCGGTCGGAAAAAAGATGGCGCCCGGACACGGAGAGTTTTCTTGTTGTTTTCGCCGCCGCCGACCGCAATTGTTCCGGTGTAAAGGGGATGCGCTCTCTCTCTCTCTCTCTCTCTCTCTCTCGCGCGCGCGCGCGCGTACGCGGTTGTGTGTGTGCGTGTGCGTGTGTCGGTGCGGTACGTGTGCGTATACGTACGCGCGCCCAAGTCGACGGCGACAAGAGACCGGAACGAAAACCGCACAATTGTCGACCGCCGTCGACCCCTCGTGATTCCTGCAGACAGTCGTCAAAACGCGAAAAGACGTCCGTGTAATAATAATAACACAATGCGCGCCGTGTGCCGCATTACGCGTATTGCGCGCGGCGGGCGGCGACGCGACGTTAGTGTCCGATACGCGAAAGGCGGTTCGGACAACGGTTTTGTAGTTCCGGATGCGACCGCCGCCGTCGCCGTCGTCGTCGGGTCGTTCGAATGACGAGTGTCTAGAGACGGCTCGCTAGCGAATTCCTTATCAATTACGATATAATATTTTTTTTATCAAATAACCTGTACACGAGTTTGTGTACATTATTTTATACGCATATACGTCTACACAGTAAAAAAATAATACGCGCAAACATATTCGTGCTGTGAAAATCGTCATGTCAGATGACAATGATAATACCAAACCAACGGATACAGATGAAATTCGTATGAAAATGTCCGATACGCAGCAAAATATTGCTCCATCTGCAGTTAGCATTACAAACAAAATTCAACGAATTCATAGCATGTTCGTGTCACAAGCAGATAAACTAAATGATGAACGGCTACATAAAATTTATTTATTCTTAGACTCAAATTTAATAATGCTATATGAACAAGAATTTAACGTTCCTGTTTCATTAATTGAAAATGCAAGCCAAAAAAAATGTTAAAAAACAGTTGCGATGTTTTTCAACTAAAAACTTGATTTAAAAATATCAGAAAAACAGCGATTAAATAAACCAACATTAAAAGGAAGAAAACAAATAATAGGTGACTTGAACGAAAAAAATGAGTCTCCTTATGCGTATGGCAAAAAGGACATAAATTATGCTATTTACATTATGCTACCTACATTTATATACTTATTTTTATTTTTATTTTTTTTTATTTTTTTTTTCTGTATGTTTGTAAAATGAACTATGCTTTGTATGTTCGTGTTAATAACATTTTGTCGTACATAATATTATGTTATTTGATAAGAAATTTTACAATTATAATTGATAAGGAATTTGCTCGTGAGCTGTTTCTAGACGCTTGTGTTCGAATGTTAATGAAATCTAGTAGTCCAGTGTAATGTAAAATGTAAAAAAAAAAGTTTCGTCATCGAGTATACAGTAAAACCTTCTTATAACGGAATCGCTCAGTGCCGACTGATTTTTTTCGTTATAAAGGAGTCTACTGTGCATAATGAAATACGATGGCCGTTCGCGACGTATCGCTGCAGTATTTCGATTTCGATACTGCAATTTGATAGCGAGCCCTCTCTCCTATACCTAGTATAGTAATGTCTGTGTCAATTAAACAAATTAAATTAAATTAAACAATTTAAAATGAACTTGAGTTTAAGAATGGTTTTACACGATAATTTAATTTAGTCAAAAACGAATGTAGCGAAATTATCTATTTTGATTTGTGTTACATAACCGTGGAAAAACAGTGGAATTGAAGATTTATTAATAGCTAATCATCAGGAACTTAATAAAATTTAATTCTAACGCGTATTTATGAATACGAACATGTTGATAATGGGAAAATATGATTGTTTGTGGAAAACCTGGAGGAAAATTCAAAGAGTTTTCAAATTTTAAAAAAAATGGCGACCCTGCCATCATATAACATTGCATAGGAATACAGGATATCAATTTTTTTTTCATAAGGGTACAACTGAATAAATCATTATTGAAAATGTTTTATGTAATTTTGTTGCACATCAAAAAAAAAAAAAAAAAAAATATATACGTAAACGGTAGAATCGAGCAAAATGAGAACAATTTCGTTCGTATTTTATTATGTTGTGTGTCCTAGAAAAATTGCAATCTCCCTGCCTGAATTCGGTTCCCACTTGATCCTTGAATTTACATAGGCGATACCCTTGGCCTTTAAAATAGTTAAAATAGATTCGAACCCCGACTGCAAAATTATACATAATACAATAAACTATTCAAGTATAGTACTATTTTTATTTTTTTTTTACTTTGCCGGCTATTTAACACCTTTAAAATTCTCAATTTTCAACTATCCCGTAGTGGCATCTACACGTATGACATTATTGGCAAATTACAATTAACAATTAACTTTTGTTGTTACTTGTGAATAATTGCAATGCGTGTGCGTGTATATATTATTGCGGACTCTAAACTACACTACTGTACGCATAATTTTCGAAAGCTGTCGGTTCGTTGATATTTCACCGAGTTCTTAACCGGTACCGAGTATTGCTCGCAGTGGCTTTTTAGAACATTTCTGTTAGTAAATTCACAACATACCTGATACAATGTAATAACGTGAAACCGAATCAACGAACAACTTGGATATTATTATTTTATAATATTGTACAACGATTTTAATTAAACGGTTAAATATTCTAAAAGTAATATCGTATAAAGTATAACATTATAATAAACATGCAATTTAAATTTCGATATTGCATTTAGAATGAGGTCTTATATAATACCATTTCCTCGAACTCGTAAAAGAAAACAAGTAAGGGAGAACACTTACACTGTGCTGCTGTGCAGCGAGTATGTTAAACTCTTGTACGTATTCCGTACGTAATTTATGAGTCTAAAACGAAACACGCAACCGATAATAATTAATTTCGCTTAAAGAAATTCAATACCCGAAAGCCTGTGAAAATATACTATTTCCAATATGGAAATATATTCGCACCGAATAAATAACAATGGCCGTGTAATTACAAACTGCTCGATTGAATTCGTTAAAAATTCATGCGAAAACCGGCCGTACAGACATTATATCACACGGATATAAAAATAATTTATTGAAACGAAGAAAAAAATAATAATTTAAGTGTGAAATCTCGTGTGGCGTCCAGGTGGATAGTGGATCGAATATTTTTGTACCCGAAAATCAATTATAATTTTAGAACCTTAAAACAATAACTAATGTCGGACAAACGTCGGTGCACGTATGAAAACTTAAAATTGTTAAAAATTATTGAAATTCTCCAGTAATAACGTTGCCGGGCGATAATTACATGTCCTCCCGTTTTCACCCCTACAGGTAGCGTACATTTTTCTGTAGATGTGTGTAATCGCGAAAATCGACCCTCGTGATAATTAACACTCTCCCCTCTTAGACAATTTCACTTGTGAAATTCGATTAGGGAATACAATAGCATTAGATAAATTATACACTGTATGTAGACTATCGGGGGGGGGAGAGTTAAATATTTACCCCGCGACCCAGTGTACATTTGTTGTAGGAATTCGTCCATGGGTCTTCTATTTCTTTTCGTGCCGGTCAGTGGTAGATTTTTATATTCCCTTTTTCACCCCAAAATCAGCAATTTTAATTGCATTGTCCTTTAATTGTAGTCCTATAAAATCCTCGATCTCTCCTCTTACTGGTAGTATTGGACATTCCAATAGATGTCTTGCTATTTGTATGTTCCCGCAATCACAATCCATCGCTGCTACTCCTCTTCTAATATCTGGAGGAGCAATCCCACTTATAATCTGTATTTTTCCTACAGGTGTGGGTTTCAAACATCAAATAATTATTCTATTTGTGTTATTCAAGTCCATGGGTTAATATTCACTTGTGAAAATTTAACCTCTTGGTCAAATATCACGGGGTTAAATAATCACTGGCGGTGCACTTGGAAAACATTTATATTTATTTATAATAACAGACTTACGCCCACACATCAACATAATTACAAGGTATTCAGATTCATTAAATCACAAGAAAAATTACAAGTTGATCATAAATTATACATTTTGGTTCGAAGAGGAGAAAAGTGTTGGTTCAAGATACGAAAAATATTAGGAACAAAAGAAAGAAGGGTTGGAATTGGCAGTAGACATAAGGCGGATAATTGGATCATCGAGTTCGTGGTTAGTAGAGCAGAAAGGATGTGAACAAATTTTAGATGAACGGCTAATACGAGAAGGAATATAAAAATTAAATTCATACAACAACATTCGACAGGAGTGGATAGCCGGGACTTATTAGTCGGATAGTCTTTGGACTTGCTATTTCTCAGTGTTTAGGACTGTCTAAAAAAACCTAAAGAAAGTGGCACTCAAACCGAAAAGCTGGCAAAAATGCAGGATTTAGGTTTTGCGGATTCTGATTGACGATCAAATTTATTAGGTTCTAACGAAACGAGAACGATCTTTGACTGATTCAAACCATTTTATTACGGCGCTAAATAATTATTTAACAGGAACCGATTCCTATTTAGGATATGAAAGTTCAAAAATACGAACTTCAGACCTTGAAAACAGAGAAAATGTCAATTAAAGAATTCAAAATTAATAACCGTGATTGGTTTTCGAATCGCAAGAATAATGTCTAATATAATCCGTAGTCAAAAGTTTAAAAATACCGAAATACCGGTTTTGAAGTAAATTTCCGAAATCCGGATTGCTGGTTCCCGGAAAATCGGGATTTTTCCCACCGCCAATACAATAATATTATAATATATGATATAAGACAACAAATATATTTAATTTTATAAAATAAAATAATAATTTCGATAAAACAGACCGAACCGGGATGGTTGTGCGTGGCGAAGAGCGCGCGCGTATATACGCCGCGGTATATGTATAGGTGCGTGTTGCGGGGGCGAGGGCTGAGGGTGGGAGGTGGGGTATGGAATAAGGCTGCGGCGGCGTGACGTCCGGATCATTATAAAGATGAATTGAACTAGAAAGTTAATTGATGAGACGCGAGCGCGCTCGTTTTCGGAGGGGTGAGGAGAGGGGAAGGGGCGTGAGGAGTGGTACCGAGGAGAAAAGCGGGCCGCTGCGTGCGCGCGTAATGAAGAAAGATGACATGCCCGCGAGAACGGTCGCTGCCGCGGCGTTGCGGGGCTTTGGGGTGGGCGAAGTTGGGGGGGGGAAAGGGGAGGGGTGCGGCGTATTTATAATTATATATTCGGAAAAGAAAATGACGGAGAAGAAGAATTTCCGGGCGAAACGGACACGGGGACCGACGGCGCGGCGGCAGGGCGGTTGACGCGCGCGAAGAGAGTGCGAAAACACTGCGGCGGCGGCGGTGCGTTAATATATAAGTACGAAAATCCTCGGCGATTTTTCACATTCTGAGCATAGCGAAAAACGCATTGCAGGTCTCACTGTGACGTGAGCCATGTGTATGCGTCTGTGAAAAACTCGAATACCGGAAAACTTGCTGCGATAAAAAAAAAAAAACCAATGACACTTTTTTTGGTGCATCGACGAAGTCGTTTTTCGATTTTCCTTCTGGTTACTATAGAAATCAGGAAAAACGAAAGCATTCACAACGAAAGTCGCATTATTTTTTTTTTTTTTTATCATGTTGTTCTTGCACCAAGAGTGCACCGAATTTCGAAAGCAGAATTTTTTCTGGAAAAAATGTTTATTCAAATATTATTTTAAGAGGTAGTTTTTTAATTTTTTTTATAAGTTTCTTAATAACTGAGGGATAAAACTACTTAAGAAAAACGGGAAAGTTTACAAAAATAACGGCTGTAATTCGGTCAAAAATCACCATAAAGACCTGAAACTTTCACAGAACACAATTATATGAAACTTTTCTCAGGCGTACCAAGTAAAATTCACTTAAAAACATTTTAGCGAATTTATAATTATTTAAAGCAATTTGACATTTTCGAGTTTTTGATATTTTATTTGGTTGCATATAAATAGTTTTAGCCGAAAAAAAATGAATGTCTATTTTACGAGGTTCATTATAAGTCTTTTTAATGGTAAAAAAAAGAAATTATCTTAATTGAGTTTTTTTTAATAATATGCGTTATAATTATTTCACATTTTGATAACAATCTTAAAAATACGGTAATTCCAAACACGTATAACCGGACTTCGCTAAAAATTTTATTTCGTTAGCTATTTACTATCATTGCGTACAGATTTAAACTAAATAACTCTACACATCCTGATTATTCTTCCTTCTAAACTTTTTTTTTTTTTTTTTTTTTTGTTGATATCTTCTAGTATGATTATTTTGAGCGGTCGGAGGGACGAGAAGATCAGAAAATGACCGTTACCTTTTAATAGTTTTAAAGTGATATTCGACTAAATGCCCTCCTTAAAAATAAATGATTTTGTTCGTAATTTGCTAGAATTCATATTATTGGGGAGGACGTGCAATCCACAATATTATAATAATTAATTAATTACTATAATAATATTATGTCTATGATTGCGGTGGCGGAATACGCGACCCCCGGCAAAAAGAAACGGGACGCGATCCGTGTATTCGGCGGTGGGTGGAGGGGTGGAGTCATTCGGAGGGAAGGCATTCGAATAAAATGTAAATCGCCTTTTCCTGTATCCACCCGTGAAAAGCCATTAGCCTTTTTCCGTGCGTATATGCGGTGGCGGAATACCTATAACCCAACGACGACGACGACGACGACGACGACGACGAACGGCTTACGATTATTATTATAATAACGATAATTATTATTACTATTATTATTATCGGAACTCTGTGCGTGTGTATTGTGTACGGGTAAAGGAGAAGTGGAAAGTTTATGTGCCGGGGAAAGGACGGGGGTGTGGCGAGAGCAATGGTTTTAGGGAAAAAAATAAAATAAAAAATAACCGACACCGTTCAAAAGTTTTAAGTAGATAAGAGAAAAAGCAATAATAATAATCGTTAGGGAAAAAACGGGTTTTTATTATGTATATTTATATATAAGTACGGAAAGGGTAAAAACGATAAAACCGCAACGGTGCTATAAACGGTAATACGTATAACGCGGGCGACGAGGGGGCGACGGTGTATTCGAAAAAGTAAAAAAAAAAAACGATTTCACGCAATCGCGTTTTATACTTTTAAACCGACGTCGGAGCTCTCGCGCGAAAAAAAAATATATACAAGCCTATATATACATGTTATTATCATTGATCCCAGGACAGGAGGGCTTAAGTCAATTCCGTTGTATGTTTTCGGCTATAGAAAACGAAATACCTGCGAGTAAAATAATCTCCGTCGATATACGCTGCTCTCACGTCTAAACCGTTATCGATGATAAGCGAATTGTATTATTGCCTACACTGGGAAGCGGACCGTGATAGACGGAAGTTCATTGTCATTATCATTATCCCAATCGGTTGCTTACAGTCACAGATATACAAGAACAGTAGATAGCCGACTGACATAGTCTATACGTGCATAATAATGTTTCCAACAAAATGGCCGCCAATCGTTATCTAAAAGATGACTGTTTACAAATTAAACTGATATGATACGTGATAAGATACTATTTTTGAGGGCCGTAATATTTTCAACGTAATATCGTACCTTATCAATACTATAAAACACAAACATTCACCTCTTAGATAAGGATTGTGGCCGTTTTATTGGCGACGATAATAATACCGATCGGCTATCTAGTTGTTTTTACCATGTATGTCCTAATGCCTACGGTAGAAACCGGTTCAAAAATAACTGCAGAAAAATAAACCTTAACAATCGATAGTACCACAAACAGTACAATGTTATATTGTATTTTAATCGCGAAATGTTAACTTTATCAATACGCTAAAAACGAATGCAATGTTTTTAACGGAGATGTTTTTAACTGGAGATATTTTCACGGGTCGCCGTGTTACCAGTGCAAGCAAATTCGATTGTTAAAACCCGCTGCTGAATAGCCTAACCTGAATACGGCGTTCTGAATGGTTTGAGTACAGCTGTTATGGTTTTTGTCAAACAAGTAAACCATTGTGATATCAATTTTTAGTAAATTATCTGTTATTTAAACGTATGCCGTTTAGACGCAAAAATAAAAGGGGAAAAATTGCAAAAGTTAAAATTATAAAAAAAAAAAAAAAAATATTGAGCTCGTCTTTCCTAGGACTATAAATATGCACAACATTTTAAACGGTTCGGGCATTTTTTCCTTTGGGTTTTTTTTTTTTTTTTTTTATCTCTGGCGCAGTATGTTTTGAATTCGGGCGAGACGGTACGACCCAGCACTATCGTAATCGCAATGATAACCGTTTATCAATTATGGGTTCCCGAACATTATGTTTCGTATTATTTCGTCACGGATTTGTTGTTGCAACGGCGACATAATACATTACATTGTAGACGGTTAACCACATTAACATGCACGTGGCGAGGTTTCTCGTGCAGCACCTGCAATAAAAAATAAACGTAAAATAATTAATACGTTTTTAAAACATTAACTAATCTATAAGTCGTATTGTACGAAAAGCCGACACTTGCTGACTAATCGTAAACGATTTTGAACAAAGTATCGTTAGTCGGACTTTTTCCTTTGTTGCCGAAAACCCAACAGAAATATTATACGACGGGTTTCCAGTTTTTCCCGTTTGTTGAGAAAAGACTACGAGGAAAATCGAAAAATGACCTCTTCAACGCTCCCTCCGAGTTGATTAAAATGTCTAGAAAAGGAAGTTACCGTAAAGTTTTCGATTGGAGCGAGATTTACGTCGGTGGATAAGTCGCTTACGGACATAAACGTTGCCGGTTATACACTTGTGGTCAAGTAATATTGTTCTAAGCATGTGTTCTTTAATTTATGATTTTCTATTATTATTCGCATTATGTGAAATCGAGATACCTAATTATATCTGAGGATTGTACGAGGTAACCAATCGCGACGTAGTGTTTAATCCGAATCTGGATACTTTACGCGTTGCGGAGTCACTGAAAAGCAAACCGTAATTGTTCGGTGCTAAAAATCACCAATTTGTAATTTTTCCTCGTGTATAATGTGTGACGAAACGTAAAATTGGATTTTTTTTTTCCCCCTCTTTGTGTCAACATAATTTCATCACAATTTCATCGTCTAACTACAATAATTATCATTATATTAACGGATATAATATCCAAATAAACGGGTGCATAAGTAGATATATATCAACAGGTTATGTAATATTTATCCCGTAACAAACGCACCCGGGTAATTATTACGGTTATTACGTAATTCTATTTATTGTACAAATACGCATAACTATTACGGCAAAACAATTTCAATCGAATTAGTTTCGGCCTTATGGAAACGAACGGTAATTTTAAACGAATAAAAGTGTTTGAAATGTATTATTATTTATAAAGCGCGACCGCCGCATTTAAATCGCGCGCACATTTTTCGTAAAAATGTTTACGTAATCCGTGATTATTTATTATTCGTTTTGTTTTCAAGCACGTTTTTCATTATACGGTATTATAATATATTACGCATTTATTTTAATACCGCACATAACTCATGATTATAAATTATTTTTCTTAGTTTAAGTTTTGAGAAGATTTCTCATTAAAAATATTACGCATCCGACCAAAACGCTATAACAACATGTATTATAATACTGCCGTACGCTGTACGCTGCATAAAATATAAGATCGTCTA